CATTCACTTATTTTTTCTTCTTATCCTTTTGTTGATGAAAAGCATTCGAAACATATTTCTACAAGGATTCTTTGGGGCGTCGTGGCGTGAGACTGATGTAAAGTTAACTTAAAAAAAAAAAGAGAGAAAAAAAATTACAATGCTGTAAAGTGTAAATTGATTTATTCCGTTTTTTAACATTATAACACTGTACATTGTAAAATAATAATGATATCCTGTAAAATTTTTAAGCCGTTTGGAAATACATAATAATTGTAATTTATATATTTGTAGAACTATGTATTTTGAGCGATCTGGCTGTATTTAAAAAAAAAAGAAAGGGGAAAAAGAAAAACTAAACAAGAAGTAATGAAGCGTAATATTTGAAATTATTCTTTTTTTGTTAGGATAAAAGAAACATTATAAATATATATATAAATGTAGAGTTATTAGTTTTCTTTTTTTTTTTCATTTTGGTCTTCTTTTCGTGGTTCGTTTGTCGTCGGGGCACGGGCCCTTTTCGAGGCCTGCTATTATAATTACGTTTATTATCGTCATAGTTTTGATTTTTCATAGGGTAGCTGGACGGGGATCACTCAATAATGGCTCTCTTTTTTTATATATATATAGTAAAATGGTGGCGTTCATGAACTCTAGTTTCTCTATAATAATATTTATTATATTTTCTGTCCATTATTATTATTATTATAGTACTATAATTCCGCACGTTTTCGACTCCTTTCGTGTTTACATATTTTTATATTGGTTGTTCACTACTAAGATATGTACGATACTTCTTTAAATTGATTGTTTAGTAGTAGCAGTAGTATTCCTCTTGCTCGACTGCCAAGTTTCGATTACACACAAAACACAGACACCCACCCCACACACATCAAGTGTATTATATATATATTTTTTTATATTATGATTATTATTATGTTTTATATTTATTAAGTCAACATTTACTTTTAGTTTCCTTGTAGCTCGCTAAGCTACATACACTTAGAATTAATTACACTATGATATATACTTGTATAAAGTAACATTAAATTCATTGTGCTCTGTATTAAGTATTTGGTTTTATTGCTGCGAGTACAGATGGCGAATATTGAACAAAACCGTGAAATTCGAAGTGAATGGGGGAAAAAGAAGACAAACAAACAAACAAACAAACAAATACACATAGAAACAAACAAACTTGTTGAAAATATATCTAACATAACATGAATGTGATTTTTTTTTTAAAAGATAATGTATTTTTATGACGATTGGCTTCTATTTATACATAATATAATTAATTGTAATGGTAATATTATTAACATACAGTGTAGATTTTCATGAATACCGCCATTGTTTATAGATCCACGGCTGTACATTATATTTATTTATATGAATACGCGATGATCTGTCTTATATGTAATTGAATGCATGTTAGGTTTATATATACATATTATATATATATTTATCCCGATTATTGTATGATAATGTAATTCTCGATTTTATTATTTTTTACCACGTAGAAATAATCAAATAAAATTCATTAAAAACAATACACATTTGCCAATTTATTTATTCCTCGACGACCAGGAAACACACACATTCATTTTCTCCCATCCTTAGACCGTATTTCTTAGATGACCGATGAACCCGAAGTGTTTCTTTGCTGATAACATTGTTGCATCTTCGAATCAGTAAGTATGTAATAACATCTGGCGAAACTAATGGTATGAAATGCACTATAGGAAAATACTGGAGTATATTTCAACGAGTGTCTTAAGGATAAGAGACGTAACGGAGGTCGCACATGAGATCAGTTGATACCAAGTTTAGAGGCTTGTGTGAAAAGGACAACTTGATGGCATCAAGTGTAAATGTAACGGTGCGAAGATGTCTTTATCGATATTCCACAATGTACGGATTGCAGAAGAGGAAACACCAATCCATATATATTTGTAAACCATTACCTTTTTTATTTATTCAAACAAGATACTGGGAATTACAGGAAATAGGAAACTATTCATATTAACCTACTTAATTTATAGAAATCTATAACAAGCAATGGATGAAAATATAACAGCTTTAATTATTAACATACAACGCTACAATCTACAAAATTATCTTCTATATTACTATTAATTACACTTGTTAGAAA